CATTTCCATCCTGCCATTCCTGCTGCAGCAACCTACACAACGACAGTTAGCACTAAACTGGAGAACATCACAGAGCCGTGAGAAGCGGCGACTTCTGCCCTCTGACACCGACTAGAGGAGCCTTCACACATTAAACGGCGTACAGAGGAACAGAGACATGACATATGGTAACAAGGACACCAATATGACTCCATCTAGAACCCACAGAATAACCCAGGCGAGTGTTTACCTGATGGCCAGCTCAGTGTTGGTGGGCATGATGTGCTGGAGTTTCTCCAGGATCAGGGAATGCTGGGTCTTCGGGAAGCAGCCCAGATAGAAGGAAACCACCTGAAAGGCACAGAATACAAACACACTACACCTGCAGTGTCAGGCAGAACAGAGAGCTGGTCTGGAAAACACACCTGGTTGTGGAAGCTGAAGCTGCTCCAATACTGTGCAGAGCTGAAGGGCACCAGGAGCCGGACGGGCACCGTCTGCAGACAGCGGAGAACCAGAGAACTGAACATCTTCAGCTCGCGGGCACTCGGCTGTGGCGAACACAGCTGCTGCCAGCTGAAGGACAGGTAGCTGAGGAGGAACACAGAGCAGGGTTACTGCGGTAAGAGAAACAGAGCAGGGTTAAATCTGCTGCTTTACAGCGATCGACTGTAGTTGAGTGTTTTATGAATAACTGTGCATGACTGGAGCGACTCTCCATGGGCCAAAGGCCAGTTTCTGTGTGTGAGAGGCCTGGCTCCAGCGGGATGCCCCGGCTGCACAATACCAGGTGGTGTCATGGTCCACGGACTCTTAAGGGGTTTTAGAACCTCATCTAGTCTGACCTGCCACCTAGCATAACTTTACTTTGGGAGACCCTACATAGGGCCATTTACCCCCTGGCACCATCCTAGAATAACTCAAACCCTCCACAACAAGGTGTCGGTTCATGGTGAGAAGGTGCATGTTGGACTCCAGCAGGGCTGACCTGTGTTAACCTGTGTTCTGTTCATTATTTCAGGGACAGAGTTTATAGGCACAGCCTAGGACAGGAGGGGTTCTGGTTCGGTGTCTACAGGATCTCATCTTGACTATTTGTAGATGACGTTGTCCTGTAGGTTTAACTGCAGAGCAGGACATGGCAGGGATGTAGATCAGCAACTCAGAATCTGAGGCTGTGGTGCTCCACTGGGATAGGATGTCCTGCCATCTCCAGCTAGAGAAGATCCTTACCCCAGGTGGAGGAGTTCAGGTGTCTCTGGGTGTAGATCAGGATTAAGGGAAGGATGGCAAGCGAGATCAACAGATGGATGCGTGCAGCAGTGATGCGGTCAGTGTGCTGGTCAGATGAGCAGAAAGGTAAAGCTCATGATCTACTGGTCTCTACGCTCTCCCCTCCCCTGTGGTCATGAGCTCTGGGTCATCACTGACAGGACGAGATCTCAGATACTGAAATGAGTTTCGGGTCACAGGAGAGGGCCTCAGAGTAGAGCCGCTGATCCTCCTCATGCAGAGCAGCAGCTGAGGGTCTCGAGCTCTGATTCCGATGACTCCTGACGCCTGACTAGGCCAGTGTTCTGGGTTTGTCCATTGGGAGCATGCATCTCTGCTCGCCTGTGAGTCTGGGGTTGTGCGGAGAATGCTGCTCCGCTACCGGCTCCAGATAAGCAGAAGATGCTCAGCTTCATGGGTGCTAGTTCTGAGACAGAG